CACTGATAAAAATACAGAAAAATAGCTTCACTATATAAATCGTTTTATAAAAGAGAAAAGGATCCAAAAAAACTTAGACCAATTTGATAATTGGGATGAACTTGATGAATTTCTTAGTTTGTTTATTACATAGCTAAATTGAAGAGATAGAACACCTTTTAAAGTAGAATCAGTTTATAACTGTTATTCAGCTTTAGCATGCTATTTAAGAGAATATAGTGCAATTGGAAGTGGAGTCCGTTTATAAGATAAATATTACTTTCCAAAAGCTTTAAAATATTTTAATAGAAAAATGCAATTCTTACAAATGGATGGATATAGTGATACTAATTCAAGTGATACTTTAACTTCTAATAAAATTACTACTTGTTTAAATTATGAATTTCTCTCTGTTACTAATAATGAAGGATTAATTAGAAGAATTTTTTTTTGGCTATCATTATTATGTGGTCTTCGTGGAGATAACACATCTAACTTGCAATATTGTGATGTTGAATCTAAAGCAGATGGTGGCTTACAATTATAATTTAGAAAGGAAAAAATAATCAAGGTAGAGTTTTTCAATGTAAATGATATGGTTACACTGCTATATGTACAGTTCCAATTCTTTCTGATAGCACTAAAAACTAGTTTACACCAATAAAAGATATAATTTTATATCTATCTAAATAACTAGCTAAATGTAAAGATTCTGATTCTCTTTTTTTAGAATGTATTAGGAAAGTGTTAGGTATTTGTTATTTTAATTTATTTATTTTTAGATTTTGATTTTTACTTTTTTTTTTATAATTTTACATATTGTTTAGATATCCAAAATGGGATTTGGTATAAACCTACCTACATGGGTGCAAACAAACTTAAAAAATATTACACCAAATTGCTACTTATATAGAAATTAATTTGGTTGATAATAAAATAACAAACTATAGTGCAAGATGAACTGCTATTATGCTTCTTAAAGTATCAGATACTCCTAAAGATAAATTGATGGCTTTTTCAGATTATCGATCATGTGAAGGTATCAGGTTCTATAGTAAACCAACAGATGATCAACAGTTAAACTCTGTTGTGTTACTTATACTATTTGTGGCAACTGAAGAAAATTTAGAAGAATATTATAATTACTCTAGAGAATCAGATACATATCACTTCACCGACACTCCTTTCATAGAAACAACACTTCACTGAAATCGCCTCACTGACATGTTTATTTTGTCAACACTAAATTCACCAACAAACTAATTCACCAAAAAGTTTATTTCATCAACACTAAATTCACCAACAATTAATTCATCGACAAAATTAATTTGCTGAAAAGTTTATTTCGTTGACAGTACAACTCACCAACAATTACTTCACCGAAAAGTTTATAGCTGTTTTCATAAATTCTGGGATACCTAAAAAAATTTGCTGATGTTAATTTCGGCTGAGTTCGAAAAGTTATAATCAGTATAATAAAATAATTAATAAAAGCTATTTTTGCATCATAATGGTCATTTTATGATGTTTGGTATGCTTAGTTTGTACGAAATTTTATTGAAAAAACTGTTAATATCAATCAATAAACCTTAACAAGAAATGTAAAAAGAAATCAAATATAAACTAAACTTTATAACTAATATATATCGCTTGAACAGGTGCTGCTATTAAAAAAGTTAAATATGATTATGAATTTGTCAACTGGGTTAAAAATGAATCTTGGGTTAGGATTCCAAGCAACCAAGATATTATTAATATCTATCGAGAATGCATAAAGAATTATAATAAACGAAATTAAAATAAAAAATTTTATGTTTATATTTATTTATATATTTTTAGTCTTTGACAAGAAACAAAAAATAATTAGAAATAAATAAATACTTTCGTTTGAACAAAAATAGATCTTGCCAAAGAATAGAAATCGAAATTTAGTTTAATTTTTTAAAATGAATTTTCGTCTTCAACAGAAAACAAAAAATAATTAGAAATGAATAAATGCCTTCATTTAAATAAAAATGGATCTTGCTAAAGAATAGGAATTAAAGTTTTATACAATTTTTTAAAAACTAATTTTCATTAAAAAATAACTAGAAATAAATAAAGGCTTTGTTTGAATAAAAATGGATCTTATCAAAGAATAGAAATTGAAATTTTTTAAAAACAAAATTTAGTCGAAAAATAATTATAACTGAATAAAGGCTTTGTTTGAATGAAAAAGAAATCTGCCAAAGAATAGTAATTGAAATAATATATAATTTTTTAAAAACAAAATTTCGTCACAAAGAATAGGAATTGAAATTTTATACAATTTTTTAAAAGAGAATTTTCGTCAAAAAATAATTAAAAATAAATAAAGGCTTCGTTTAAGCAAAAATAGATTTTGCCACAACAAACAATTTTTTTAAAAATGAAATGAATAAGCATGTCACTGTATTGTAATATATTTAGTCACCTAATCTTATTAATTATTATCTGTTACTGAATCTTATTATTTCTAACTTATCGAATTCAACCAAAATTATCATTGGCAAATTTTTTTAGGTGTTCCAGAATTTATGAAAACAGCTGTAAGCTTTTCGGTGAAGTAATTGTTAGTGAGTTGTACTGTCGATGAAATAAACTTTTCAGCGAATTAATTTTGTCAACTAATCAATTGTCAGTGAATTTAGTGTTAATGAAATAAACTTTTTAGTAAATTAAGTTTGTCGACGAAATAATTGTTGGTGAATTTAGTGTCGACGAAATAAACATGTCGGTGAGGTGATTTTAGTAAAGTAATGTGTATACAAAAGGAGCATCGATGAATAGAGCTGAACCAGGAGAATCTTATATGACTTACGAATCAGAAGAAGATAGTATAGAAACTGGTAAATTTAAATTAAATATATAATGCTAATAATAAGATTTTTATATTTCTTAACTTACAGTATAGTTATATATATTATAGATAATACAACGATAATGTCTAATGCTAATTCAGATTCAAGAATATTGGAATGTGGTACATACTATATATATATTACTGTTGTTATATAGAATCTAAAATATTAACTAATTTATGATCATTTCTATTTTAGAAATTTTTGTAATATCTACCACAACTGCTAGTTTGGAATCTGAAGTAGCAGTAACAGCAACATCTAAAAATAGTAATGATAATAATAAAGTTGTACTACAGCATAAAGATGGTTCACAGTATGAATTACTAAAAATTGTACCAAAGCAACCAAGATCGAACATTTTCTCACCATTTAAACCATTATACAAGAAAGCAAAAATTTTAAGTTCTAAATCCCAACAACATAATTCTTGAAAAAATCAATCACCTAATGCTCAACAATCGTTTAATACTTAGGAAAATCAAACACAGAAAAGTTAGTTAAATAATACACAAGAAAATCAGTCATATAACACTTAAAAAAGTTAATCGTATAACACTCAAGAAAAAAATCAACTGAAAATTTGCAATATGAATTTTCTAATAGCTCAAATATTAAATGAAGTTATATTAAACCTAGAAGTTCTCTTGAATCTGTTACTAATAATATTATACTTCAAATTCTGCCTTCTGACAAGCTCTTGACTATAAATTTGAATCTTATATTGGGTAGATAACATAATTTGTATTTAGATTTTTTTTTTTTAATGTAGAGAATTTTTATTTCAAGAAATTCAGAATAAATAAGATTTTATATGCACTGCTAATTAATAAAAAAGTAAATGTATTAAGTAAAAATGAAATAACTAAATCAGTACATTTTCATATTTTATATCAAATATGAAAGTGGTCTGATTTAGTTATTTTTTTAAACACGTGCCAATAAATAAGTGAAAAAAGCACAGGTTGTTACATAAGACCCATACAATAATATATATATATTGGTTTGATTATGTATATATCTAATTTATACCAAAGAAATTTGGTTTTTTCAAATTCAGAACAGTTATATATAAGCACCAAATATGTAATTAAGTAAGTATTTACTGCTTAGCTTATGACTTTATATCAACTCAATAAAAGTTTTTTTCATGACTATAATTAGATATTTTACTTATATACATAATCTAAATTTAATATCAGATTAATATTGCAAAATTGCAGAATCTAATTATATTTTGTTTGTAGTCTATTATATTATTGTTAACACTTTTTAAAAATTTATACAGAGCTAAATATATAAAATATTAAGCTAAAAATTAAATTATAAATTTTTTAAATCTATATCTTTTAAATAAAAAAAGTTTATAAATTCTATGCTACAGTTTTTAAAATAATCAAGTTTAAATAAAATTTTAAATTTTTATATTAAACTAATTTTTTAAATTTTAATATAATTTCATGGTAACTAGATTTACTAAATATAATAATAACAGATACTAGTTAGGAAGAAGTTACCAAACATGAAGATAAAAACATGTGTGGGACATAGACTACTCTGTTAGGTTTACCTTGTAGATAGACTAGCTTAATATGGAGTTAGTAAGTTCTAAAAGGACCCTAAATATATGCATAAAGCCTTTGTCATACACTTAGACTAAATTTTTCAAGATGTTTGTCCATATGTGTACAAAAATGAGCTTTTTGATAGCAAATTTGCTTAACCTTTAATGTACACATAATTAGTAATTTTTAAAAAAGATTGGTATATATTTACTAATTATATTAAATTAGTATATCGTACAGTATATATAAAAATATATATATTCTGAAAAGTTCCAAATAGAAAATAAATAAATATAAATTATGAGCATAGTTGGGCTAAAATTTTTGAAAAAATATTCAAAAAATTCCGAAAAACAAACTTAAATTGTTAAATCTTTGTCTTATATTAGCTTAATATTAGCTTTACCTTTATCTGTATACTTATTAAAATATAGAAACCTTATATTAAACTTCTGTCATATATTTAAGATATAGTTTTAAGCAATTGTATACTTCAATAATAAAATATATTTGTACACTTATATAAGTTTTAAAGACAAAGATTTATATATATAATATACTAGTATTTAGGAGTTCTGTTCTAAGATGGGTGCAAAATATAATTGGGTATATACAAAATCTACTTCTGTATAGTGAGTAATATCCAGAGTTAGAGATTATCTATTGGCTTGGAAGTAGGTTATAATCAGAGAGTTTAAATAGATATCTTCCTAGTTAAGGTACAGGTACAGCAGATAGTGTAAAACCTTCAGGCAGACTATTTAAATTAGGTACCCAAAAGGTGTACATGTGGCTTGATATACTCTTACTGTAATTAAAAAATATAAACTTCTAATAAAACATTTTCTGGCCTAAGAGATCACCTTAATACCAAAAAAAAAACTAAATATAATAATATATAAATTTAATTTTTCTATTAATAAACTAGGAATTTTTTTTAAATAAAGTTTTTTAGTATAACAAATTGTACATATTTTAAAAATTTTATAATTTTTTAAAAAATATTTAGTAAATTATTATATAAAGTAATTCAACTCTTTCTGATGATTATTTTTTCCAAATTTTTTCCAAAAACTTTTTTTAATAAATACATTATAACTAGTTGAAAAAGTAATAAGTAAGATAAGTCGAGGAACTACAGTACCTGTTATTTAGAGGTAGTTCTTATACGCTATCTGCTAACAGGTTCAAAGTTTATCACTCACTGTTGAAATGGAGAGCACTTGTTATTTAGAAGTAGTTCTCATATGCTACTTGTCAACTAGCTTAGAGTTTATTACTCACTCTTTAACATTCTTTAAGTACCCACCCTTCACTCGGTTAACAAGTTATTGATATACTTTGCAAAAAAAGTATACACACTTCTTTGGTTTGGAACTAGTGGTTCTTTTTTCACCTCTACTGCCTCTTGCTGACCTTACCAAAATTTTTGACAAAAAGTAGGCAATTCAGCTTACCCTCTCCAAAAGATCGGCATTGTTTACACTTTTTATTTTCAGACAGATGAAGTAGGATATAAATACAGGATTGTTTTGACAATGATGTATCTACACTATGTGACGAACTAATCAGTGCTCTGTTTAACAAACCAACCCAGACCAGACAGTAAAGTCAGAAGAGACTTAACAATAAAGCGAAGCTTACAATGGAGATATACAAGATTTTTAAATTTAGTATATAATTTTTACAACTGTGCTTGGCATGAGCTATAATAGTGTTTTTATAGATTGTTTTTTTTTTGCCTTTTTCTTTTTTTTTTTTTTTCTTTTTGTTTGTTTTCTTGTTGCTTTTGGCAGTTTTTTTTCTTTTTTCCTTTCATGTTATTCCCTTTATCTTTAGTGTTAGTATTTTTTTTCATAAGTTAGTTGGAGACTATGAATCCTTCTACTCGTGAAGCTAGGGGAAGAAGGTTTAAAAAAGATGGCAGTCTTGATAGGCCATAAATACCATTTAGTGATATATCAAAGAATTCATTTGCAGAGTTTTTTGATATGAAGATAAACATTTACTATAGCAGATCGAATATAAGTATTTGCTTGAGAACAATCAGATTAGCTAAAACTTGTAACTTAGGTGGTGCTTTAGTTTACTTTAGCAAAAATGATATTTTACCTATGAGTTAAATATTTTAGCCTAATAAAGTTGAGGCAAGAT